GTTGGGGTGCTGGAGGGAGCCGGGTTTTGCAGCGTGCCGTGCCGCTCTCGGGGGCGAGGGGAGCAGCTGAAGCGTCGTGCGGTTGCCCTTGCTGCGAGCGGGGGGCTTGCAGAGTTTCCCCTGGAAACCTCTCTCGTGTGAGGTCTGGCTGCAGAGGAGTTCAGCGCAGTTCTGTCAAAATGCTTGTGCTACCTGTGTTGCAAAGAAGAAAAAAAAAAAACAGACCCCAAGACACAACAAACAAACCAACTTTTTCTTCCATGTTGGTAGTTCAAATAACTAAATGAGTTGTGATTTGTGGTTAAAAAAGCCCCAAGCTTATTGGAGAAACATATTCAATCTTTATTTGGTTTTATTCTGCCCCGATCTGTTGTATCCCCTTTCTATATTTTGTGGAGACCAGAATTGATTTTCATTTCATCTCGACGTAAAAAGTAATTTTTTTACAGTGAGAACAATCGTTCACTGGAACAGCCTCCCCATGGATGTGGTAGAGGCCTCATCTCTGGAGGTTTTCAAAACACAACTGGACAGGGTGCTAGATAACCTCATCTGGGCTCCCTTTCCCATGAAAGATTGGACAAGATGGTCTTTCGAGGTCCCTTCCAACCTGGCCTATTCTATGATTTTACCTGTTAACATGTATTAATGTGCTTTTAAAGGCTATTTTTACTTAAAACAGAGTGTTAATGAGAAGACAGAACTTGGAGGATGGATAAGTGTTTCTATTTAACATACTTGGAAGGGGAGAGGATGTAAATGTTAGTTCTGCTTGAACAGAGTAGGTGGCAGAAGCATAAGATGATGCTGAATTATCTTTCCATAAAGAAAATGGTGAAGCTCAATCTTACAGTTCTTTCGGGTTTAGGCTGTAGCTTGTAAAAGTTTCAGAAGATAAATGACATCTAAAAAGCAATTTGGAATAACCAAATACATTTAGCATAGTAAAACTAACTTAAGATCTTAAAAAAAAAAAAAAAAGTTTCCCATTGGGGAGGGGAATCCACCACCAAACCAACCAAAAAAAACCCCAACACCGAAAGGTCTTTGGAAGTATTAAAGAATACTATCAGAATATGCATTTGTTGTTTTTCTGTATTAACACAGTTACTTTGCTTTTCTAGTTTATATCTCAGTTCTTTGTACATTCGGCACTTCAAAACAATATGTAACGCGTTCTATTGGTGTTATTTGATATCTGATACAGTAACACTAGTGTTGCTTGTGTAACCTTTTTTAAAAGTACTGAATTGAGTAGGCAGCTTGTGGTTGATAATCTGTGAATTTCTAAGTCCCATAGTTCAGTGCAGCATTTTGCTGATTTAGAAGCTTGGATCTACAGGTAGTATACCATGTTTGCATGATCTTGGGTGTGGTGTTTTAGCTCATGTACTTAATATTTCTAATCTGGGACATGATACTGTATAAATGGTGCTGTGTAACGCTTCCACACCTGACTAGACTTGTGTCCAGTTGGCACGGCATTTCTGCGCTGTGTCCTCAGGACTTGTGATTCCTTTGACTCCTAGGGAGCATGCTTTGGCTTTCTGCACCTGGATTGGATACAGCTGAAAGGTCGTCATCTGTCTTTAAATACTGTCTGAATGATAAAGCTGTGAACTTTTTAATGACTTTTTTGGTCATTTTAAGTTGAAAAGTAGGTTACTATGTGGAGACCAAAAGCTCCTTTAATTCATACAAACTCTTATCATTAGCATGGAGGGACCTGAAAGTTCCCAATGTATTTAGAAATAGATTTGCAACTTGGTCGCATGGTAAGGGCCTCTAGAGTCAAAATACGTAGAAAAAGCATACTTGAGTGTTTGTGAGGACAAAGTCTAAGCTTGTTCTGAGTAACTGTTGCTGATGTTCACAATCCAGAGTTCCTGGTGCCAGTCAAGTATTACTTGGCTATCTTCTCAGATAGCTGTGTTGTAGGAGTAACTTCTTTTGTGTGTGTGTCGAGTGAGATGTGACGACTTACTGATAAAAAGCCAGCGAAGAGATGGGTTTCACACTGTTGAAAACGCTTGGGTTTGGTTTTCTTTCCTTTCCTGGGATGAGGGCTAGTTCTGTAGGAGAATCAGTTCGTATATTGTCTGCTGGTTCTGATCAGTGCTTCTGTCATCAGCGTAAATCACAGGTGAGAGGTGATCTGTCACAGAATTGACTCTGCTTGTGAGGTGTCTGTAATGGTCAGTGTCAGACTCAGCTCCAGAATCAGACTCCACTTGGTTTTGAGAGTCAAAAGCAGTACTTCACCTCTCAGCATAATGTGAACCAATTTTAATATGTGGGTTACCTCATGTCCCTCCCATGTGGAATACCTATAGCCATGAGTATTTCTGAATGACAACTGGTTTTGAATGACATGAAATCTAACTTAGGAGGGCATCAGTACAATTAGATCAAGTTACAGTTGTCTACTGCCTGCCACTTTCTTCAGAGATCCTCGAGGTTTTAGATTTATAAGCTGTACCTATATATAGCTTTGCATATGTTACACTGGTAAGAACTCATGCTACTGCCAAGAGTTGTGGTCACTTAAATCCTAGTTGATGTAAAAGTTTTACGTGACATCTATGAAATAGAACAAGACACCGATCTGAATTAAAACTAAGGCAAGTCCTTTTGCTCTTACATTTTTTTCTGGCTTGGTGGGACAGTTTTGGCAGCTGTGCTGTACTAATAGTTATGCAGGTTTAAAGCCTATATTTTAACTATGTTCATGATTGCTAGATTCTGAGTGAAAGTCAACTTAGCAAACAGTTACTGTACTGTAGCAATGTACTGTAGTGGCTTTGGAAGACTTACTGTCTTCTAGCAAAGAGAAGAAGTCTTGCGAATATGGAAAGAATTGGAGATGCTCTTTCCAGGTGTGTGTATCGAGTCACTGTGATTTTATTGTGTTGTGTAAAAGTCGTAAACTTTTCTCGGAGAGCACAAAATAGAATTATTTCAATCTGTATACCCAGTGATTCCCCTAACAAGGAGCTACTTTATGCTTATTTCCATTGTGCGACAATATTTCCTATGAGCCCTGGGCTTCATAAGTCTTTTGTTCTCCTGCTTTTGTGCTCAGCATAAATCAGAACAATCTCTTATGCTCAATAATATCATGTAATGTGGTATTTCATCATGTATTACAATGCTTTGAGCATGTTATCCTCACAGAAGTGTTTTGACATACTGCTTGTTGACTTCCAAATTCCTAATACTGCAGTGCTTCCTCAAATCCAGACTGTGTAGAAATACACTGAGAATTGTAGGAAGGTCTTTGGAATACAGAGGATCATCTGTGCATTAGACTTCATGTTTATGGCATTTGAAAGTAGTGTTTCCTTCTCAGTAAGAAACAAACTCCTTGAATTTGATATAATTGGCAGGTTCCTTGTGCTTCAAGCTCTGATATTTAAGCTTTGTGGATGAGAACTGAGCAACAGGTAAACAGTCATGCCAGTTAGGATATTTTCTTCTGAAACGTCTCTTAGTTGACAAGAGTTTGGTACTGTGTTTTTATGGGGACTTCCAAGGTGCCATTTCGTATTTGTTTTTTTTTATGTCTCTTTACAGGAACTGACAACAGCTTTGGAAAAGAATCCAGATGATGCCGAATATTATTGTCAACGAGCTTATGCTCATATTCTTCTGCAGAAATATGCTGGTAACATCTTCAGACTACACTGAGAATCCTTTTACAAGTGTATTATAACACATTCTTTACAGAAGATGTCTTTAATCTGAAGCCAAATATAGTAATAAGAAAAAATGTTATCTGTAACTTAACATGCTGCTCTTGCAGTTAGGGTGTAATTTTATAGTTTTGCACTGTTCTGTTTCTGCAAAACTTCCAATGAATTGGGTGTTCTGCAGTCCCAGCTTTCCATTTGATTTTAGCCTAGTATTACTATCTTGGCAGCTTTTTTTTTTTTTTTTGAGTAGACTTCTTCGGCAGATTTTTAAGCTTTGTGTTGTAAGCATCTTCCATCCTTATGTTTTTGGTAGAGACTGAATCCTGTCATGGTAGGAATGTGATAACTGAATGCTGCCTGGGAAAAAGATTAACTGAATAACTTAAAATTTGGCCTATTTTTTTCTTCCTAGTAAAAAAACCAAACAAACAGATTCACACTTCAGATCTAAGTAGAGGATATGACTACATGAAAGCCGTGCTACATCTTACTTAGAGCTCTGCAGCTGAATGAAGGGTTCATCCATAGAAGTTGTGACTAGTTTTAATTCAAACAGGGTGATTTGTGTGCAAGCTAAGAAAACTAACATAGTACACCTTAAAAACCTTTCGCTACTGAAAGACTCACAGTTCAGTGTGTTTTGTAACATATTACTATGTTCCTCACCTTTAAACTGACTTCCAACAGATGCAGTTGCAGATGCAAAGAAGTCCCTGGAACTCAACCCCAGTAATGCTGTAGCGCTCCTTAGGAAAGGGTATGTGTCATATATTGTGCTTTGCGAATGTTGTGATAATCTGTAGGGCAGTACTAGTATTTGGATTATGGCTCAGTACAAATGTTTTGCAGCACCATGAATGAATAAATTTAGTGCTGTATTGCTTGTAACTCATCCATAATATAGCTGTGGTTATAAGAAGAAATTTAGTTTGGGGTGATTATCTTAACATCCTAGCCATTTCAAAAACACACCTCTTAAGTGATTTAAATTCTTACATGTGTAATTTTAACCAGTATAGCGTGTGAACTAAGGATGTTGTGATCTTCAGAATGTGGATTGGACTGAAAAGTAATTGCTGTTCCCTTGTGTTTTTCTTTGTTCATGTCAGGTTAGGTGAATATCATATCAAAAACTACGCATCTGCTTTAGAGTCTTTCAGAGAGGGACAGAGGTTGGATAGTAAGTATTAAAATTTCTTGTGTGCACAGTACTCCTTTGCTAATGAGAAAAAACTTTTTAATGCATCAGTTGAAAGTGACAACCAAGGATTTTTTAATTTTTTTTTTAAGGCTAATGAATTAGGTGTCTGACTTCAGATGTCTGGCTTTTGGGAAGGTTTGTGCAATCACTGCATAAAAGTGTAAAATTGCTTAAAAATGTGTATCAAAATTCTTAGCAAGTAGTATATGTTTGGAGTTTTTTTGTACCCCTTTATAAAATGGGGATTGTCTTCCTGCTTCTTGGAGGTGTTACAAGTAAGTGGTGGCAATGGTGTGGCATTAAGTGTTGTAGAAAAGTTTCTAAATGCTACAGGCTCCTTATACGTAGCTGTAATTTCTTCTTAAACTAATTGATAGACTGGTCTTTAGAAGGAACATGCAACTTGATGGATATTCAAACTGACAAAATGGACTTTTATCTCACATTAGATGTCACTTAATTACAGAAGCATATTTATTATATCTCTTTTTTTCTTAAAGTGTTGGCCTCCTGGCTGAACTTAGTCGCTTTTCAGTTTGGGGAGAATTAGAGTTTTCTTAAAACATGACTTTATTCTAGAAGCAGGAAAGGAGTAATGTAATACAGAAAGCTTTGGTAGAAGACATAGGGAAGCATAAACCAAAGCAAGTGCAAGATGGTTGTGACTCCTTTCTCTTCCCTCCTATCCCTCATTTTAAATGAAAACCCTCTCCTCATTCCATTCCCTCCCTTCCCAACAGCAGAAAGAAATGGTAAGAAAGGCACCTTGAAAGGTTACACAGAGCAAAGTGCACTAATCTGATAAGCATTGTCATGGTCTCAGATCTTTCTAGTATGTTGTCTTATTTGTAACAGTGACTGGGACCTGAAGGTTTAGCAAAAGATTAAGTACTTTGCCTCTCCCAAATCGGTGATCTGATCCTCTGATCTAAAACTGGAGTTTCATGGAGTGTAAGCTAACTTGTGCTTGCTGCCAAGCAATCATACTCCATCCTACTCTTGTGCTAGCTTAGTCTCTTCTTTCAATGCATTAAGTCTGCAGAAAGCTACTGTTTTTAAAGTATTTTCCCCCTAAATTAATGTGTTGAAATGGCCCAAGGAAGGGTCTGAGTGCTGAAGCCAGCAGAAGTGAAGTGGCAGAGCAGTGTTGGGGCAGTGGTAGTGGTGGTGGAAGCAGGATGTATGGAATTGCAGCAACTGTTAGATGTCAGCCTAGGTTGCTCTGGAATAGGAGTTAAAATATAAGAAATATGCTAAAGTTCTTTCAGTTTTCGTAGTTTAGATAATGAGGTAGTCTCCGCTACTTTGTACACTAGAAAGACAGGTGTGTCTTTGCAGTCTAGCAAAGTTCTCTATTTAGTATCTTCCTGTGAAAGGAGGTGATTCCTTCCAGTGACTTCTGGAGCTTTCCTTACATGATAGGTAACCTTTCATACGTCTCCAAACTCATCACTCCTGAATTTAATTGAATGATTAATCTAAATTTTTTCATATTATTGCCCCATCCCAAGCCACCACTGTCAATTTGAGGCCTTCCATGTGCATGGATTTTCTAGTTTGTCAGTTGGAGTTGTTCAAAATACAGATTATACGCAAACCTCCTCAGGCCAGAGCAATGCTTTTTTTTTTTTTTTCCTTCTGTTTAACATCACATCCTACTTATATTGTAGGGTACGACACCACACAGAGATGCAGATACCTTTTGAGATAAGTCAGTGAATACCAGGATACTCTTAGCTAATTCAGAATCCCTGAAATACAGCACGTTTTCCTGTGTTGAAATGCTTGATTTCTACCTTTTGAATTTAATTTACTATTGTTTTGCTGCTTACCCAGTTGAAGTATTTCTGAAGCTTCCAAGTCCTTCCTGATTACTCCCTCATTTGAAGATAGCTTCTGCTGTGCTTCCTGTATCTCATTACAAAATTCTGTGACCCGCTGTGAGATGAGGAGTCTCCTGAAGGCCTTTTTAAAAATGCAGATTTTTAGTTGATTCTCTTCCATATATTACCTAATTTGCTTGCAAGTTTATGTCAGTAACAGAATTTGCCTTTGCAGTTCTGTGGAATGTTTGATGGATCTCAGGTGAAAACAATTGCGGGCATAAGCATTTTGGCAAAACAGTTAACTTCCAGTTAAAAGCAACTAGTGCAAAATGAAGAAAGTGGAGAGGGAAAATTTGCCACGTACCTCTAAGCAGGTGATAGAGAGAGAAGACTTTACCAGTTGCTACCTCAGAGAGAATTGCTGTGGTGGGGAATTCTTTGCTGGCAAGGCTGGTTTCTTTGCCGCACAAGAGGGCAGAAGTACACCAGTAAGTGTTTCTGTTCCTTGCTGATGTAAGAGCTGTTTTAAATCTTAATCTGAAATGCTAACAACCATGAGTTTCTTCCTTGTGCTCGTTACTGGTAGGACTGCCAGGCCCAGGGTACCACAGCAAGCTTCCCATTACCCACCTACAGGGATAACTGAATAGGACTTGATGTGATGAATTGTTGAACGTGCAGTGTTTCTTTGTTTTATAAAATAACATTAGGAAGCAAAACTCCTTTCACTTAACTGTGAGATTAGGTTCATGTGGATTTTTGGAGTTCATTAATTTGCCTTAGATTGAAGAAGCAGTGTGATCTGTTACTTTTCAGTACGTTATGTGGATTTAGGACAATTATACTCAAATTTTCCTGTTTTTTTTGCTGTGACTACCTCATGAGTTTAGTAAAGGTGGAACGTCAATTTTTTAAAGAAACGCCTTAGCAGGTACTTTTCTTGTATTCTGAGAGTTAGCAGATTTTCAGTAAGTGAAGACCCAGTTAGGTTTTCTGAACTATAAAGTTATTAATAGGAGTTGTTGGTAAGTTCTTTGGGAGGATAATGCAGTTACAGAGCACAAAAAAAAAATAATCTTCTACCTCAAGTTATAAAATGTGTTGGGATGCAGGAGTGGTTAGTGAGGGGGATCTTCTAGGAACGTAGGGAAGGTAACACTAGGCATTTCTTATAAAGTTTGTTGCACAGCAGTCTTGTCATAGGCCATAGTTAAAAAGAGAATTCCTCACCTGCTGTTGAAAGTCAGAGGCTGGGTCCGTGGAGACTAGCCTCAGTTTCTCTTTGCTTAGACTCCTGAACCAACTTAATTTAATTTCACTTTTGGTTAATAAACTTTGTTCCTGGCTGCGAAACTTGGAAGTCTTTTTAGAGTATGGGTGCAAAGTTTTAAAATTATAGATTAGTTTAGGTTGCAGGTAAGCTCTGGAGCTCGTCTAATTCTATGCTCTGGCCAAAACCAGTATTAACTTTGAACTTGCATGTATTTGCTTGTGTCCTTCTACTGTCGATGTCCAAGTATCTCGGAAGAATGAAAATTCCACAGTCTCTTTGGGCAACCTGCTCCAGTGTTTGACCACTCCTTTAGGAAACAATTTTCCTTATCTAATCAGAACTTACTTTGCTGCGTCTTGGGTCCTTTGCCTCGCTTCCTTTCTGCATGTAATTCTGAGGACAGTCTGTGGTCAGTCATCTGAATACATGAAATATACATTAGGTGATTGAAGACAGCCCTTGGATCCCCCAGCAGAACCCTCTGATAGTTAATTTTGGTTAATTCAATCTGAAAATAGGTATCTTCTTTCTAGGATTTGCTAGAAATATAGAAAAGACTGCAGCAGTCAGTGAATGATTATATTGTAATGTCAAGACAGCCATATTATTATCTGCATTTTTATCTTTTCCTAACACATGTGTTATGTAGGTTAAAATTTAGGTAACTTTTAAGATGACTGGTGGGGAGAGCAGAAGAAAAGGGAAGAAGAAATGGCTTGAGGAATTGGGTAGCAATTTTGAAACCTAAGGCGCACCTTAAAATTTATGTACGTTTTTTATTTTAAGAGGTTGGGGTGCATACTTTGCATGACTGCAGTGGAGTCACATTTGGTGTTACATGCATGTCTCCTGGGAACTCTTCTTGATAACTGGCTGTGTGAACTCCCTCAGTGTGAATTTTCTCTGTTGTAAAAAGATAAAAAATTTAGCTGTTCCTAGCAGTTGTTCAGTAATGTGGCCACTTTTTTTACTTTCCTGACTATGAAAGATTTTTTTTCTGTGAATTTTGTTGAAATAAGAGGATTACTCTGTTGTTACACTGGTATGTTTTGAGCTATTTTCCAGTGAATTCATTTCTATCTAAGGAGCTTTCTTCCTAGAATATCAAGGTCTTACTAAATTTTTCTGTGATTTTGATTCATAGGGTGGAATTGGCACCTATGTATTCCTAACATTTCTTAAACTTCAGATGTGTTTGTAAATTTTGCATGAAATCACCAGGAGAAAATACTTGGTGTTTGTGAAGACTTGTGCAACTTTGAGTTGTCTTCAGAACAGATCATCTCTTCTGATATTTCTCTAGAGAGGAAATGTGGAACTGTTTGAAAAAATAATTTTAAGGATAATGGAAAAATGTGTAAAACTATACTTCTTGCTTTCCAAATGGTTATGTAGGGGTTGAGCAGACTGGAAAGCAATAGCGTATTGAGGTCAGTTCAGACAAAATCTAGTGTCCTACAAAATAACTTGAAGTTAATTAAATATAACAGAATTAAATAGTAGAGTTGTGTAAAAATACTTAAAGATTAAGTGGAATTACAGAGGTTACATGAAAATAATACCTATTTTAGTAAATTAATGTGAGTTTGGGATGGATTTGTTCCAGTGGCAATTGTGGGGAATTGTTCTTCATGCAATACATGTAGTGCTTGAAGAGTTTTAATGTTACTGTGTTTGATCTCTTCTAGATGTAGATGATACCTTTACTATTTGGATTAAAAGATGTGAAGAAACGCTAAACGGTAAGAAAAAAATGCATTTACTTGATAAGGGATTTGATACGCCCTGTGCTTTGAAGTTCTGTCATGTTTTTCAAAGGTTTACAGTTTATGTCTTCCTTAGAACAAAAGACATTTTTAAAAAAAAAGTAACTTTTTCCTATTTCTTGTTTCTCTCAGATTATACATCCTGAACACTTCTATTCTTCAGATTTAGAGGAGCATTAATATTAGGCTTTTAATGTAATAATTAGCTGTGACAGGGGAGTACCTATTTAAAGTTTAGACAATCATAACTAATTTTAACTTGTTTTCATACACAACTGCTAACTAATTTTAAGTGTGGAAACATGTGTCAGCTTGCTTTCCAAAAACACCATTGAAATAAGTTTTCAAGTCTTGCAGAAAATGAAGTTGGAAAGAGGTGGAAATTTGGGGATTTTATTCCTTGATTCCATGTGGAGAGTGCCTTAGGTGCTAATGGCTGCTCTGGTGTCCTATGCATGGTAGTCAGTGAGTAAGAGTGTAGTTTCCTTTCATACCTTCCTACACACTGACACCCCCAACAATTAAGTCATCCGCAGTGATTAAACTGCCTGTGGATTTTAATGAGAGAGAATATCTGATGTCCTTTTTTTCCTCTACCTGCTGTGACTTTCCCTCATCTTTGTGATGCACACTGAAGAATGGGGCAGTAGAACAAGTTCGTGTTAATCTGTTGACGAAAAAACAAATAGAGGAGAACCCTTTTCTGTTGTATAGGAATGAACAAATTTCTGCTTTGTGATACATCTTTTGCAAGATTTATTTTTATTTGGAGAAATTAGGTAAGTGATTGGCATGCATAGTCTTATTTGCAAAGAATTATCTTGGGTGATAACTTTCTCTGCCCTCTCAAGGAAAGAGGTTATAATACATATTTTTCTCTAATGTCATAATTACTTTTTGCAGTGTTTTGTCTGGTTCAACTCAGTTGTCCTGTTTTATCCTGAATATTCATCCCTGTCTTTTCTTTTTTGAGCCATTTTCTTAATTCTCTGATACACCAGCAAAAAGAACCCCAACAAAACAACTACTCTGATTTCTTCATTACAATTTAATATTCTTTTTTTGTTAATCTTTATTTCTTCTTAGCAGTATGCGTTATAAAGAAGCAAAGGGAAAGTTTGTTTCTTTTCAAACATATTTAATCTGAAATATTTTAGGAAAAAATATTTAGAAGAGGAGATACTGAACTATAGTTTAGATCCAAGTATTACAGTATATTTAAGGTCACACGAGTTAATTTCTCTGCCAAATTTCCATCTCATTCCCCAACTGGTTTGCCTAGCATGAGATACAAATTTGATGAAAACTTTGTGCTATTCCTATGGATGGATAATAAACGTAGTACAGGCTCGCGGGAAGTGATTTTTAAAAGTTTTGTTTGCCATGATGTTGCTTTCATTAAAAAAAGTCTGTATAGATTTCAGATAAGCAAAGGAAAGTAATGGAAAGTTTTTGTTCCTTCTGTTAATCAGAACATGCTTTACATCATGGTTGCTCCTTTGCACAAGTTTCTGATTGAAGTCTGATGAAAAAGTAGAGTGTCATAAAAGCAAAATACTAGAGGTAGAGCTGGCATGTTTTTAAGTCTTCTGCTGTTGAGACTGGAATAAATGCAGAATGTCTGGAGTAACTGAAGAAAACCAGAATAAGTATATGCCTTGTAAGTTCAATACGTCTTTTTCTGAATGTGCAACTTTTTTCTTTCTGCAGCATCACAGACAGAAGTGGTAAGATGTTTTCCTTTAATATGTTTGCTGTTTTGATTTCTTTGTTAAGCTGGAGCATACTTTTAGGTTTCAGTGGCTTCTTACAACTTTCAGTCTTTAAAAAGAATATTTTCTATTGCACACAATTCTAAGGGATTTAAGTTTTCTTCTAAACATGTGTTCTTTAATTTGAGACCAAGGTTGCAAAATTTGAACCCTGAAAACTCTTGGGAATGGCATAGAAATCTGGCAGTTACTGTGCGCTCATTGAAGTAAATTTTAACTTTCTGGCTTGCAGTCTGTGACCCAAGTTACAAATTAGTCAGCTCATGTTGTCAATACTAACTTGCTTGTGACTACTAGAAAGTAACTTTTTTTTCCAGTAGCTTGCAGGTGGTTTGTGTGGACTTTTTTCTGCTATAACTTGTTCAGCTTTCAGTTTCCTTTTTTTATTGGAAGCCTTCAGAAGAAATGTTGAAATTGTCTCCCCCCCTTTTTTTTTTCTTCAGACAAAAAGGGAATTTGTATTGGATGTTCTGCTCCCTCTTTCATATTTACTTCCATTTTTTACATTTTGAGAATAGGGTAGAGGAGGAAAGAGTACAGAAAATGTGGTGTATGTAAAGACAAATCTTACAATTAAAAGGTTTTTATATTTAAAAGTTATGCCTTGGGTTCTCGGATGCATTTCAGATTTCCTTCGTGACTTTTAGATTAGCAGCATAGCCACTGTATGCCTTTCAGGTGTACTTCTTATCCAGGAAGAAAATGAGTTAAAGCTGAACTTACTGCTATTTATAAAATGTCTGACCAATATATTCTAAGTTACAGACTGACATATTTAATGTAAATTGTAACTTTTTAATTCTTAATCTGGTATAAATGGCTAGGAGAACAGTGAAGAGCTTCACCTGAAAGTTAATGCTCATACATAAATGAACGAAAGGGAAGCAATCAATATGAAAATGATTTCTGTCTTTGAAAAGTACTTTGTGATGTATTTTCCACTTACATTGATGTAACTTTCTTTCCAATGGAATATTCTTCAACTAGAGTACACAGCAGCAGCCTCTGCCACCAAAGATCAAGTAAGTTGACTTTAGCTTTACTGTGAGAATTAAAATAATTGACATATAACTGTTCTTTGACTTGGGGACTGGAGAAGCAAGATAATGACTGTAGAAGTTCTTTTTGGGTAACTTTGAAAATGTGGCAGTCGTAAGTGAAGTGTTTCTCAGTGTCATTGCTTTTGTTCAGACTGAATTGTACTTTCAGGAGATTATGCCCCACTGGGAGAGTGGGGAATGGCGTAAGCATTCTGACTTCTGTTTCTAATTCTCGTGCTGAGCTTAATTCCGAGACTGCCCCATTGTGCCTAGTATACGTAATGTTTCTGAGATACTTTTAGGATCTTGAACTAAAAGGTGACATTTAATTTATAGAAGGCAAACAATATTATGAATTGGTTAAGAGTGACCTAATTTTGATATACTTCTTGATGAAAAAGATTCTTTTGTTTTTTAACTACTTGTCAATTCTGCAACTGTTAATTTAGAGGAAGGGGAAGAAATCCGATTTTGTATATCTTCTCTACCCCATTAAACTACACGATGCACTGTTCCAGCTTTTGGTACTCTTCTGTATATCTCTTTGCAGTTGTTTTTTCCTCTTTTCCCCTACGCGTTCACCCGCCTTGTTTTTAACTTTTTTATTTTTATTTTTTTTTAGATATGACTGGTACCAAACAGAATCTCAAGTAATTGTGACTATAATGATCAAGAATGCACAGAAGGATGATGTCAGTGTGCAGTTCTCTGAGAAAGAGGTGATTTGTATTGGTTGTTGATATGCATCCCTAGATTCCCTAAAGTGTAGTGATTAAAACAGTGAACATTATCTGCTGCAACAGCATGAAAAGAATGGTACAGGTGCTCTTCTATCTGATCTTTTTTTATGTACAGTTATGCTGTATATGCATGTATGCCCAGTCAAGCGAACCGGGATCTGTTGCCACAGCAGTGTCTGTAGGATTTATGCTCAAGCAGTAGTGTGGTGTGCAAGCTGCAAAGGCAGCATCTGGTTTTCAGCTGCCTGTGTGTTTGGAGGGGTGGGGGAAGAAGTGGTCTGGACTTGAAATGTTTGAGTATGCATGCATCTGGAGTAGGAATGGACAGAGACAAAGTATTATAAAAGTGGGTATGAATGAGTAATACCTTGCTTTAGGACAATTATAGAAAAAGAATGAATGTTGGTGGATGGGTTTTTCTTGCTTTTGGCATCACTAAACTTGTTAGTGGCAGCAAAGTACATATTTCAAGGAAGTGCAATAATCTCTTTATTGTAATGCCATATGTGGTACCGATGACGTTCATCTTTAATTTAGCTGAGAATATTGAAGCATTAGGTTCTTGTTCTCAACTAAGTTGATACTTTGCGAACTACCAGAAATATTTGGTTGTAACTATCTACGTTAGATTGTTAAAATTATGTGAGTGCTTGCCACGTAGTTTGTGTGTATTAGAAGGGAAGTTGCAAATTTGTTTTCATGTTCAATTATTAATATGTTGTTTGTCATATAATTCTTCCCCAAAAGAATACAGATCAAGCTGACAGGATAATAGGCTTTTTGAGTACTTGCTGGCTAAGAATTGAAATCTCCTGTTCATTTTCTACTATACTTTAGAAACACCTTGTTCAATAATGCAGTAATGTAATGGCGTCATCTGAAGTTCTGATGCCTGATGCTTTAAGTGCCCTAGTGAAGGGTCATTAATTTAATCACTTAATCTTGGTGCCAAATGACAATCCTTTACTTGATAATGGAAAACTGCTCTCAAAGATGACCAGAGACGTGTTTTCGATTGTTAACAGATGAATGCATCAGTGAGACTTCCATCAGGTGAAGACTACAACTTAAAGCTTGTTCTTCTTCATTCTATAGTGCCAGAGCAAAGTACATTCAAAGTGCTTTCAACGAAGGTAAACTTCTTAAAGTGTAAATTATTTCTTTGATTGTTTCTGATGTTGAAAACATTTCTGCTCTATTGTCTTGTCTCTCTGCAACAGTCATAGTATCTTGCTTTTCATATAGAAATGCTTTTTCTTTCTTCAAGGTGCCTTTCAGCCAGTGGGACACTTTCTAAACTTGTGCAAATGTCAGAAATAGTAATATGATGGTGCTTATTGAAGTGCAAATGACAATTATGTTGAGGATGCTTTTACTTCTTGCTGTAGAAAGAAGACTCTGGTCTTCACTCTTAAAATTCAGGTATTGGGAAAGTGTGAACACCTTTCTACTAAACTTTTAGGAGCCAATATTGCCCTGTGAAGCATTGTTATCTTTGTGTACCCAAGAAATAAAAGTCAGACTTGGAAAATTTCGGTGTTGAAATAATTCTTTACCTTTCATGACTCCTTCCTGTTAAAGGTTAGCTGTACAGTTAACTGTTCTTGGCTTTTCAAGAGAGTGTATTCCATGCTGTTCTGGAAATAGTACTTGCATGGAGACACTTGAAAATCACATGGCTTGAGAGAGAATGCTTCTGTCCCAGCATTTTGTTTCCTCTGTGTTAAAGGTATAGGAAAATAAGAAACTGACTGTGGTCTGGCATAGCATATATTGTTGGTATAACACATAGATCGATATATGCTTTGTCAGTAGAGCTAAGCCTGAACCTCTGAAGCAGGAGTGTGTTGTTGATTATTTCCTTGTATTTCAGGAGGGGTTCTGCAGAGCTTTTGGAAATTCTTTTGTGTTTTCATGTTCCATTTTGCCTGTTCCCTTTTCAGAAAGGTACCTATAATAGTTCTTGCATCATTTCAGGGAAGAGGGTCTTCAAGATGACATGAGAGGATTGCTATAGAAAGTTGGTCTTATTTTTCCACTCCTCGCACTAAAGAAGGTGTGCAGTTTATGTGACTTAGTCACATGAGCTCTTACACTGTGGGAGATAAGCAGAGTGCTCAAAAGTATGTAGAAAACCTGCTAGTCCATTAGTATTTATATAAATTTGAGTGGAGTGGGCATGGACCTTGTCAATAAGAGTAGCTGTGAGGTCCTGTTTGCTTTATGTTTCAATCTAGCTTGTGTTATATTTCTCATTCGTCTTGAAGTTCACTGTTACTTTTATGAAGGACCTGCATGCTACTGAGCACTGTTGAAATGAACTTGACTTTGTCTTTCTATGCTACCATTTCTAGCCTGGGTTAATCTCTGAAATAGTCTCTAGTAGTCTAGAGCTTGGTTTAGACTCTGGTTCCTAAAGTGGTGTGAAAGCTTTTTTTTATGTTCAAGCAGGGTCAGAATTGTAAATATTTTGCATTTATTTTCAAATGTTGCTGTTCCTATATAATTGTAAGAGAATATTTTTGAGACAAAACGGGATAACAGAGAACACAGGAGATGTTCTAACAACAGAAGTCAGCACTTCAACATGTTCTTCCTTTTGCAGAAAAGAATAGTGTAAGGACATCTATGAAGGCATAGTGAAGGAATACAATTTAAATGATGCCCCGGCTAATTCCAGTTCCAACCAGCAGATGGAGTCTGGCTGAAGGAAAAAAAGTTAAAAGCAGGTGTACGTTAAGCATGCGAAGACTTCTTTATAGGCTTAGAATATTTTTACTTTGAGAAGTGTTAAGAGCTTTAAGGGAATGGTACAGCCTTAGTGTTTGAATACTATAAACTCAGATTTCGTAAGTGTCATGTATGTACTTTGTTCTTACGAGCGGTATGGAAAATATGCAGTTATTACTTGAATAAACCATCTGATTGCTTAGGACTTCTCGAACCCTTTCCAAATTATTTTGTACCATTTACCTGAGGTCCTTTTGTAAAGACTTGGAAAGAAAGACATAATCTCATTATCTTTCCAATTATATGGACTCTTACTACACAATCCTAAAGAAATTGTGTTTTCATGGGATAGGAACAGATCTGTTCCTGTGCATTAATAATTTCAGATAAGAATAGCTGTGTGTGTTCACACTGCTGTAATTTGTATTGCTGCTTTGACTGAGCCACATTGCCATTGGCATCGTAGTCTTCACTGGGCAACGAAGAGTCTGGTCTTTCTTTTTCAATTCTGTGAGGAAATATATGAGGAAACAGAATGGAATATGTGGGCAGGTTATGTTGTGGATAGTTCGAGTTTCCCGTGAACTTCATAAAACTAATAAATGTAATGGATAGAGGATGAAACAACAGAACTGGCAGATAATACAACAGTCCTGCGTGTTTTGGTAACTGAGAGAAGCTGGAGAGAGATTTCTCGATGCTGCTTGAAAGTCAGCATCACTTGACAAATGCAAAGGAGTAAAGGTAACGATACAAATTCAGGAGGAGAAAAATAAACTTAATTGTATTTGCAGAATTACAGATTCTAAAATAACTGCAAAGAGCAGGCAGAACTTAGACTCTGGGATTGGTTCTTTCAGGGAATGTTCACAGTGGTGAAAAATGCAATTGATACCTTCAGAATTGTTTCTTTCCTAGCAATGAAATAGAAATTATACCTTTCAATAAATCCATGCTGTGTCTAGCTCTGAGATGCAAAGTCTCTGTTTGGAAAAGAACAGAACTAGCAAATGGTACAGAGGTAGCATAGATAGATGTTTGGAGGTGTTTGAATGGTTTCTGTATGAGAAGTAAATTAGTGTTCATAATCTGCAGACTTTTGACTTCAAGGTGTGAACTAGAAGAGGTAAAACACTTGATGCTGACTCAAGAACAGCATAACATGTAAGTGAAGTCCAGTTTTGAGATCATTTCTTTATGCATCCTAGTATTTTATGTTTTCTAATTATCAACAGTTGTATAGATGATACAGGCTGCCTTTAATGGTGGCTGTATGTATTACTGCCATGCTTGGTGCCATTTTTTTTACTTAATTCAAAAGTTTGTTTTCTATTTAATAGATACCACTACTTGCGAATTCAGCTTGGAGTTGTTTATGGTTCCCCTTCACAGTTAGTCACAAGTTACTTAGAATTACCTGGTGGTGTTCAGCATGTAAGCTGAAGCCTTAGATCATCAAACTTAACGTTCATGTGAGAAAATGCTGAATGCAACTGTGTGGAGCCCTCCTCTTGAGGAAATTGCTATGTATGCGTAGCATTTTTTTTTTCTTGTACATGAACAGCATAGTTGGTAGGTCATAACTAGATCAGTTGACGTTATTGGTTATACTCCTGATCTGTCAAGGGTGTCTGACTGTAGTAATCTGATCAAGCAAAAAGTAACAGCAGCTCCAAAAAGCACCGTATACATTTGAGATTTGTGTCTTATAAATGGAAGCTGACTTGGTCTTTGTATGTAGCATGACTTTGTACACAGTAGGGAGGATTTTTTTTTTTGATGGTCATCCTCAATTGTGTTCGGGTGTCAGGTGAAGTAGGGGAAAAACTGTGCCCCACTGAAAACTGCACGTTGCATTCAGCATTTAACAGGAGGAAGGTGCCCTTTAGTGGTGCTGCTTGGTTTTTTACTTCTTTCCAGAAGAGGGAGCTGAAATGTAAAGACTGAAGTCCTTAAGTTTGCTCTTTGGAAGTTGCTTGTGTGCAGTTATCCTATAGCTCAGTGCACATTGTGTCATCGTGCTCCCTTCATAAAAGGAAAAAGGCATAAAAACTTAAAAGGAGTGACTAAATATGTTTAAGACGAAACTGGCTGATCTATCTCTGTCCAGAGTATATGGCAGGAAAGTAGAAATGCACAAATAACATAAGGATTTCTAATGTTCTGAAACAGTTCTTTGTGCACAATCAGCCTCACTTTCTTTTCCCTCTTCTGTTCAGTCTATCAGTCTGTGTATTTGGGATTCCAGGGGAATATTCTCCCATGTTCTGATGGAAACTTGTGTAATGTGAGCAGTTTTCTTTAGGTCTTCTGTTGTGTTTTAGGTGATACCCAGGGTTTTCTTCTCCTTAGACCCAGAAGAGGAGAGTGAGGATGAGTATGTGCTTTTAGCAGGTGTGCTTATGAACTTGAAGGAAACTTGAGCTAGTGCTTTCTCTTCCCTTCCGCTCTTGCATCTGCAAATAGTCTGGGGACAATTACTGTGAGTCTTCAATTTTTAGTGGTTTAGGCTTTTTGCAAGCAATGACTTGCAGCAATTTAGAGCCGTTTGAAAAAGTGGTAAAAAGCAGTTACCCCAGAACTGTCCTTTAATTAGAGATCAAAGTCATGCTGCAAACGAGGGAGGTGTTAGAAATTCTCAACCTCTTTTACAGTTGACTGTTTGTTACTTAATAGAGGTGTCTGAGGTAGAAGCACACTCTCTCAGCAGCTTCATGCCAAGAATATGGTAGTGTGCATCAGTGAAATGCTTCTTTTCCTCAAACCAACGTTTTGCTTTGCAAATTCTGAAATATTCTGTGCAGCTTACTGGAAAAGCACAGCAATGCCTGTTGCTAAATGTAAAGGAAAAGGCAAAGAGTGAAACTGTTTCACGCACTCTTGGACTGTTGTGAGTCGCTCTTCAGAGGCAAAAGTACACAAATAGTTAAACAGAGGAACAGATTTATTTTAACTAAAGTTGCTTCTTACTGTTGCAGTCTGATCCTTAAAAGATATTGTCTCATTTTGGATATTTTCATTAAATTGCTTGGAGGCACTTGAATACAGGCTTCCCTGCTCTCATATACTTGTTTTCTCTGTGAGGCTTTCATACAGATTCATATCTCCCATAGATATTCTTGAGTGTTTTCTCTAAACTATAAACTGATATTTAAGATAAGAGTTGGATACTTTTCTGAAATTTCTTCTATCTCTCTCTTAGGCAGGGCTAGTTCGAGCAATTTCCTGGCTAGACCATAAAGAAAACTTTCCAATAATTGGCATAATGATATTTACTTGGCTCAAAATAAGTTTGGTGGTGGTTTGTTTTTTTTCTTCTTTATGAATGCAGATGCAGATTTAAACTTGTTAATACTCTGAGAACTTTATTTTAAACAAGTATATAAGTCAATGCCCATGCTTTGTGTAAATACATAAAGGAAAAGTATGCATAAGGGTTTTCTCCATCTTGAGAGAAGATGGATGTAAGAACTATTGGAATAGCGATGGTTTACATTGAGGATGCAGTGACAAAGAGTTTTAGGATACTTAAGTGATCTGTATTGCTAGCTGCTCCTCTAAAATCCAAATTTTTAACAAGTGGTTGCTATGTAATATCAGTAAGGTGGAAACTTTGACCTTTTTCCGCTCAGTTCTCTGTAGTACATAGCTGGCAAAGGAACTGAAAGGTGCATGCTAAATCCCTTCTGTTGCAATATATTCCCTACAGAATTTCTTAATTATAATTTATTTGTGATAACATTGTAGAGTTATTTTCATCTCGGTATATTTTGTTTAAAGTTATGGACCAAAGGTCTTGGAATTCAGAATATAAGCAATGTATAAAAGGTCTTTGAATAACTAGGATACCAAAACTGTATGTGCATATGATCTTAGAGGTAAATTTGAATAGGTCACACATTTTTAGAAGACAGTGCTATTTTGTCCGACCCTTAAATTTAGGTAACGAAATACAGGAGATGTTTGCAAAATGACAAATTTTAAGTTACGCTAAAAATTTACAACTTGGACAAGGCAGTCAGTAGTTCAGTAAATAACTAAATAGTTGATTGGAGAGCCTGAATTCTCATTTTCATGTGTGTGTTATAGCAAAATATCAGAATTTAAAAGGGTATTTTTTGATGCATCTTAAAATTAATGGCTGAACTACTGCTTAAGCTTTGCCAGTTCTGATTTCCTTCATTCATCTGATCAGAGCTTGACACAAATTTGCCAGTGGTAAGTGAACCTTCCCTCAGCACAGACTGTGAAATATAAAACACAGTAGAAATTGGAAAAAAGTTCCTGTAACTTGTCAGTGTACACCACAGTCTTCTTTTAGGGAGGAGGATAAAAATTCTTTCTCTTCTAATGTTTCTCAATTAAACTGGCAATGTCTGTCCCAGAACGTAAGTTCAAGTGAAATCTAGTTGATCAGAGATTTGGACTTTTTAACAGTAAGCTTCTACCTAGAAAATTAATGTTGGCTAACTAGCGTTGAGTTTATCTATAGCTGAGGAGAGAAATTCTCTCTTAAAACTAGATTAAATGCTCTTTTATGCCAGTGATCTTAGAGTAAAGATTTTTTTGTGTTCTTATACTACTAATTAAATAGTGTAGAATAGCTTCTGAGAGTAACTCTGTAGTATCTTTTCTGATAGCTAGAGCTTGGATTAAGCTGCAAACAACTTTTCTAAATCTCTGATAGGTCTTAAGAAGTTGATTACTTTTATGACTAGAAAATTCTATGAGTAGAAACTTCTCTGTATCCTTTCACTGCAGATGGGGTTTCTTCTAGATGATGAATCCCCCATTTGTCCCTCTTCTCAGAGGGGCAGGTTTCTCTAAAGACGGTATTTCAAACAAGTAGTGCATTAATTACTCTGTCAAAATTCCATGTTTCTTTCCCTTTTTGCTTTGCTCACTTTGAGCCCAAAATACCGGGAACTTAAAAATTGCAACAGAAAGTGGATTATTTCTGCATTGGAACTTTTCATACATCTGGAGTACTGTGTCCAGTTTTGGGCTTCCCAGTGCAAGAAGACCACTAATGTAGTAGATCAAGTCCTGGTGGAGGGCTACCGAGATGGTCAGGTGGCTGCATGGCATGAGCTACAAGGAGAGGCTGAGGATTTAGACTTGTCCTTAAGTGGCATGCAAAGCATTTAATTTGCAATGAAATTTTCCTGTCTTTTATTCTAAAGTTGGCAGGAGGCACACAGGCATACATTTTATGAAATATAAATGTTAAATCAAAGTAGTTGGCAAAATGTTGATGTATTTCTTTTGCCCGAGTACTGAATTTTTTTCGAAGGAGAGGAAAAAGCTGACAGTATTTGTGTGTTAGATATGACACTAATGTCTGTACCTGTATGTTACTTTTCTGTGTGATAGCTATCAGTATCTGCTTTAAAATGTTTATGAAAATGCATTTATTGCTGTTTGTGTGCATAATTGGGACTCGCAAAGCTGGTTCTCCTTAGATCAAATAAAGCTCTCAAGTGGAAAAAATACGCACCTTCACAAGCAGAATTTTGTAGCTCTATATTTTTGGAAAATGTGGTTGTATAATGTTATGAAGCTAGTGATTTCCCTAGTTTTGCTCCTGCCTGCCACTTTGCCTAATGAGTAACTTCAGTTGAAGTGGATGGAGTAGACGGGGTAGAGGTTTAATCATGTCATAAACACATTCTGTCTCAATACTTCAGCTGTCTGTGCTTCTAGCTTTGCAGGGTTGAAATAGTTTAGATTTAAGAAATCTGCATCTTACACTGGAAATTAGTTTGTAGCATTTCTTTTCCTTAGGAATGTTCATCATGCAGTGCTGGCTTAGGGACAGTTTCAGAGAGGAAAGTCTAAGAACTAGCAGATTTAAAAAGGAGAGGAGGATTACTGGAGCAGCAAAAGTAAAGATCTTCCTTTTTTTTCTTCTTTCTGTGCATGGGAAGAGTACCCTGATGAATAGCCAAAGGTCTTTATAAGGGTTCTTTGAGGAGGATTGTATTCTGAGAAGAAGAAAGTCCATGTTTAGTAGCTCACCTCAAGCATTATATTGCATTAGAGGTCGTTCTTGGTGTGGATGAGAGTCTGTGTTTGAGATACTGAAAGATACTGGTGGAAAGCCTGAAGTGGAAGGGTAAGAGGAGATAGCAAAGGAAGAAACAAAAAGAAGAGAAATTGAGGAGGTATGGGGTTGAGCAGTCTCGATATCAAGCATTTACTCTCTTTTTTCTTTTTTAAAATAGAACATATGGGAGGATAGACTAATAAGAAGATAATAATAAGCTAATAATCTTAAAATTAAGACCTCCTCAACTTAAATGTGTAACTGAATTGATAATACAGTTTCCTCAGATTGGGAAGAGTTGTATGAGAAGCAGAGGACAGACAAGTTGTTTTAAATTAATACTCACATTTCACTTGTAACTAATTAGTGCCTTTGTAAGTGGCTAATTAACTTAAATGTTTGACTTGGGAGATCCAAATCTATTGGGAAAAAAGAAAAACAGCCTGCTAGTTCTGGCACTCATGGAACTAATTCTTTGTCTTATATGTAGATATACAAATATTTTTTTTCTTCCTTAAGCGAATCACAAAGCATTAGATTTATGGGTGTAGGTGTTCAAAAATGAACTTTAAAGATGTAGTTTCCAAAGTCTTTTTAAAAGAATACAGTGGAAGAAGCTTTGCTGACTTCTTTCATTTTACTGAAGACTAATTATTGGCACAGTTTGAATGCTGCTTCTGCATAGTTTCAACAGAAATCTCTGCGTCCTTACAGTCTGCAATGTTAAACTCTGGAATACAGACCTTCTTTAGGTCAAGAGCAAGTAGAGTAATACAATATTTTAATTTTGTTTGATTATTTTGGTTCTGTGACTTTCACTAGTCTGAAAACTGATCCTCTGATGCTTAATTTGTGACTTGTAAAGTTACTAAAAACATTGGAAATCCAGCAGACATGGGGAATGGGAAGTCAAATACATGTGGGTGTTGGACTTAGAAACTTACTGAAATTCTCCCCTGCCTTGAAGGGCATTCCATGCCTCATGTCTTAAGCTTTTTATTGGTCTCAGTTAGTACAAGTTAGTGGTGAAAAGTAAGTATTTAAACTCATCTAGGGAAATGGTAGCTTCCCCGGGCTTGGGGGGCGGGGGCGAGAAAAAGAAGCCATCGTAATTGAATTCTGATTCTTAAAATGCAGCATGACTCCAAACATGGAAGCTTTGAAACTTAAATGACCTAATTTCTTTTATTTTTATAAGGTATCTCTGTTGCTTACCAGTGACTGATTTGAAGAACGGATTAAATAAAGTTCAAATTTGAGATCAATATGATGCTGTGCAAGGAGCTTTCTGTTACGATGTCTAGGGTTAGCTTTTACAGTGGTGCCTTTGTTCTTGGGTCTGCAGGGATCCCCAGGTTATAGTGGCTTTGGGTAGAAATAAGAACTCGCTTCTGCTGAGCTGTTCACAAATTAGGAACTGCTGAAGTTTAGCAAGCACTGATTTCAGTTAGTTAATAGCATCGTATGTGCTTTGTGACATTCTCTTAAGTGAATTTGTCCTTTGGAGTGATGTTAGGCAGCCCTTGTTTTGCAGACATTGTTTTGCAACTTTGTAACCCTCTAACCAAAGGATAAGGTTAATTACAAAAAACATTTCAATATGATTGTCTAAAGGGATTATGTGTAGTTGTGAATAGGGCAAAATACTTCACTTAATTTTGTTTCTCCCATGATAATTGCAACCATATCCATTTTTAATTGCTAGTTTTGTGAATGAATACTACACAGTTTTCTCTATAACAGTGTTTGTTCATTGAACAAAATGAATATAGCTTCTGAATTTCTCCAGTGGGAAGATCTGCATAGTCCCAAGGTGTTTCTCTGGTTTGTGTACTACACATCAAATATGAAATTTTTTGGAGGATGAAATGTAAGCCTAGATAAAGTTGGTGGATTTTGTAGTCTTTCAAAAGAGCTATTTAATTAGAGCTCACTGGCAAGAAAGGGCTGCTTGAAAGATAATACCTTGGTGCCTGGCAGCGTAGAGACATTGGGACTGACCATTGCTTTTGGGATGCCATAACTTACAGAAAGAATCAAATGAATAGTAAGCAGAAGAAAGTTAAGTGATACTAAACAAAAGGGTAAAAGTCTGATATAAGAGCTTTGCAGCCACATAAGAACTTAGTGGACATGTGACTTCATCTTGTAAGGTAGGTAAATTTTGCTAAAATATAGGCTTCGTATTAGAGACTGTGTTTCTAAAAACAAGTGTATTTATTTTCTTACTGCTACAGGATGCAACTACTTTGAAACTATTTGGCAGAACTGTTTGCCATCTGGATTAATTTCTTCTTTGTCTTGTGTTTTGTAGGTTGAGATAAAAATGAAGAAGCCAGAGGCCGTAAGATGGGAGAAGTTGGAGGGCCAGGGAGATTCTCCTAAGTTAAAGCAATTTACACCAGGTTCGTTCTCTGAACTATTAAGTATTAAATGGTTTATTTGTATTAAGTTACTTGTAGATAATAATATATTTTGTCTTAAATATTGCTAATAAAATCACAGCTTCATATTTACAGTGAAAAGCCTAATAGTCTTGTTTTTACTGCCAAGAATTGACAGAAAAATTCTGCAGGGCATTAGTAAAACTTAAGTATTAAATTAGTCATAACTTACATTAATCTGATGGATTGTTAAAGAGATATGCTTGTCATTCATTCCTCTGGGCTCATCTGTTTGGCTATCCACTGTTTTGCAGTTTATGCATTGTTATACCTCTATTGTTTCTTACTTAATAAATAATACTTAATTATTTATTCCCTCTCTCTTGGAAAGGAATAAAGTAATACTTTTGCAATTTTTCAAGACAGATTAACAGTCTATCTTTGAGAGAATTTTAATTTCCTGATTTATTGATTTCAGATATTTTTTTAAATTTAACTCAAATTTTCGTATGCCTCTAGGCTGCTGATTTTTTTTTTCCCTTACTGTCAGCCAATATTTCCTGCCTCGTTTTGACTTTATCTATGTTGCTGTTGCCCACCATTTTTTTGTAAATTATGTAGCTAAATTATGTAACTCTGTTTACTTACAAGTAAACTTTTGCAGCTGCTGAATGTAGTCTCTAGCATTTCTTAGTTTCCTTTCTTTTTGTTACTGCAATGCTTATATTGGTAAGGAGGAATCCATTTGCCTTTTCAGATTCATGTTTCATTATCATCTCTGATTCATCGGATACATATGTGTCTGTGTGTTCTCTGCTGCTCTGAAAGTCATGAGGAGAATGGTTAGTTAACTAACACTTCTGTTTTCAGATACCCAGCACTTATATCCATCATCCTCTCACTATACAAGGAACTGGGACAAACTGGTAGTTGAAATCAAAGAGGAGGAGAAGAATGAGAAGTTAGAAGGAGATGCTGCTTTAAATAAACTCTTCCAGCAAATTTATTCAGATGGTACAGATGAGGTGAAACGTGCCATGAACAAATCGTTTGTAAGTCTTCATCCTTTTTCTCTGAAGGAATGTGTAACTTCTGCACACTGACACAATTTACTAAGCTGTGCATGAACCGGGAAGCTTCTAACTACCAAAACCTTGGGCCGATAATGAATGGCAGTGGTTCTGTTGGAGATACTGGTATAACAAGTCTCACTGAAACCTACCATGTTGTAGACTAGCGATTGTGACTCTTTTATGCCCAAGTTTGTGCTTTGTCACCGATCTCTTTGTTTCAATCAGTGTCATCAAAGGAAACACAGTTTTTGGCTCATCTAGAGCTTGAAGACTTGCCGTGGGTGAAAGGACCAAATTCCTCTTAATTGTTTGTATCTAGTTCCCTTTATTTGTAGTCCTCGTAAGCAAGAACATGACTAACCCTTCCAAAGCTTCTTGTTAATGAAGTAACATCTCATTGTGTCCAGTGCGGATAAAAGTACTGTTGGGCTGAAGATTATGGAATGATACCTTTGTCAAATTTTATTCTATATGTAGACAGAATTCCTGTGTAATTGCTACTGCATGAAACTTAAATTCTTCATGTTTCTTCAGAATTTGTTAATCTACTGTAAGAAATGTGGCTTTTATATTACTAGAATTCCTCTAGCAAACTAAACAAGCTTTTTCTCATATTGCAGATGGAGTCTGGAGGCACAGTTCTGAGCACCAACTGGTCTGATGTTGGCAAAAGGAAGGTAGAAGTAAATCCTCCTGATGACATGGAATGGAAAAAATTCTAATCCTATTTTTAATCTTTTACCATCTATGTGTTGCCATAGTCATGTACTGACCACTGTGTATGGACATAGCATTCTTGGATTCAAAGCACTGAATGTTCCCTTGGAAACAGGAATTGTCTTTACATTTTGCGTGCTTTAGAAATTTCTTCATCCACAGATGTTAAAGATACACTCAAGAGTGGAACCCTATTTTCATCATCTCTGTCTAATTTTTGGAAATCTAGTCAATCAGTCTAAATTTTCTACCGCCTTTAGCAGCTCTGCTTTTTGGAGATAGGATGATCTCTAACGGCTGGTCAGGATTATTGCCTTACGCCTGGTATTTCTGTTTAATAACTTACAAAATCTTGGCAACTTCGGCTAAAAACACTTTTCAACAACAGTGTTAAAATTGTTTGCTCTGTAACTCTGCTAAATAAAATTGTAAATATAACTTTTTCTATACAGAAGCTGCTTCATTTCATTTTTAGTAATCTTGTTTTTTGGTGGAGGAATCACTTAAAGCATGTAGGTAAGGATGTGAATACGCTGCTTAAATAAAAAAAGTTGGCATGTATAGGACCAAAATGTGCATTCAGTGAAGAGGATGAGATTGCTATTCTTCATGCAGGCAGAAAATGTCTACTTTTGGAGTCCTTCCACCTGGGTGATAGGTTGAACTGCAGCCATATATGATAGAAGGGAGAAAGTCAGTTGTGACTGGAAATTTCTACAGACAAGTGGATCCTTTGTCTGCCTTCTATATTCGAAAAGATGGATCTTTTGCAATTGCCTGAAATCAAAGATAGCAAGAAGTCGCTTTAAGTTCTGTTACTTCAGAATGTTGGAAACCGTTTATATTTTAGAGAAGAGCCCATGCATCCTTAATTGTTTCCATCAGTGCACCTTTTCCATCATGATCAAATTGTAAATAATGGTATTTACAGAAGAACTGAGAAATGTAAGAAATGCCGTCTATGCTTGTACTACTTGGATACCAGTCTGTGAGGGCCTAGAGATGCTCAAAAGCCATCTGGACGTGGTCCTGGACACCTGGCTTTAGGTGGCCCTGCTTGAGAAGGGGGCTTGAACAAGGTGACCTCCAGGGGTCCCTTCCAACTTCAACAGTTGTGTGATTCTGTGAAAGAGAGATGAACTTCCAAAGTTGTGGTAAACATGCCTAATCCACGTGCCGCTGTCTCTTGGGAATTCAGAGATAGATAAGCATTCTAAGATTCTAGAAAACACCATGAGTTGCAAATATTGGCAGCCCTCTGAAAGCCACTTCATTCCTTGCTAATCATTGCATGTTGCTGTAAGTTTGCTGCTTTTCCTTGCATTCCTAATTATGTAGGTTTTTCCTGATTATTTGTTATTCTGCCTGTTTTCTTTGTATTTGGTATGTTATTTTACTACAGTGAGAATTGGATGAGCTTGGTAAAATATAAAGGTTATTAGAACAGGAGTTTTAATAGGACAAGTGAAGTCTTCAGCTGTTAACAGTAATAAACGTATGTAAAAGATGATTGAAAACTGAGGAGGAGGAAGAAAGGATGTGTTCTGTTCCTTCTGAGGACTAGGAGTCTAGGTTTTGCAGTGAGGCTGGGAAGGTGCAGTGTTGTTTTTCCTACTATTGTTACTATGCCTGTGCCATAGATAGATAGCAAGAATTTAAAATCTCACGAATCTTAAAAAGAGAGCTTGTTTTTGGATGTGTGCTATAGCGATGAACTTCAGATTGTCATACTGGGCAGCTGTAGACTATGACTGTGGTCTTGACATAACGGCAGTTTCTTGATGCGCTCAGATCATGATTATCCTACAGTGCAAGCTGGGCAGTGATTTCTTTTTGAATCACTTTTAGCTTCAGAATTGATTCATGTTTTCCCAAAGCTCAAATTTGATCACCTGCAGAACTGAATGTTTGTCCTGGTCTTTGAATACAACGAAGGGAGAGGGATTGAATCTGGGAAGGGTGTTGTGTGTGCCTTACCTCTTGATTGTGAGCAGTGCCTGCTTCTTGGAAGAGTTTGTCAAAGGATAGACTTGTGGCATATTTCAGTGAAGATTTATTGCCTTCAATAGGGAATTTCTTGCCCTTCAGACAATTCGGAGTAGCTAGTTGCTCAATATCTAGAGCATTTGCAATCCATAAAGGATGCTAACATTGAAATTGACTTGATTTGGGACAGGGACTTGAACTCATTCTCCTGGATAAGTGCTCTGCTGCTTTTTATTTATGCTCTGAAAGGCATTTCTTGCTTTCTAATGTGGAAGGAAGAAAAATGTCTAAGCGCTTCACTTTGTGACAAAATTGGGTTCTTGTCTCCTGGCCAGCCTTGCTTTATAAATGTCATTCAGAGCACTTAGCAAGTCTTTGCTAAGCACTGTTATGGGAAAAGCCTAGATAAAAATCTCTTAAATAGCAATGAAAAAGTAATTTGAGGATGTTTTCTGCCAATCAAATTGTTCTTTTTTACTGAAAAGAACACAGTAGGGGTTCCTCCGTCTATTTTCACTTACAGAAAGACCATGGGAATATTTCATCAGATAAGCACAATATATTCTTGTATTAAGTGTGTGCTGTTTCACTGCTTTGGGATTCAATTCACTTAGTATAAGGCAAAAAGTAAAATAAAATGCATTGCTATTTATGTACTCTTGAGGCATATATAGTGCAAATATAATGCTTTAGCTTCGGGCTAAAACTTGTAGCAATCAAGTGGTAGTCCTCCCTGTCCATGTCCTGTAAGCCAAGTTGGGAGGTCTAAACTCAATTCCAGCATGTTTCTGAGCACAGACAGATAAGGTGTGTGTGTTCCACCTTAGAATTTAGGTGAACTGATAATGGCAGCTCTTGTTGCCTTGTGTGGGGTAGGTTTCTGATGGGAGGGGACTGGATTAAAGGAGTAGGCAAAATTCCAAAGTTGGAGAGAAGGTGCTTCATGAACTTTGTGAACAGTATGTGTTTTGTTCTTGACAAAACCCATGCATAGAATGGTTCCAGAAGCCCTAGGTCAAGAGGAAGGGAGCCAGGGAGCTTGGGGGTTGAACAGAGGCTGTGAAGGGTACCAGTGACAAAGGGAATTTCCTTCAGGACTAGAGAGGATGAGTGGAATTTGTTGCAGCACTGGCAATGAGTTGGCTGGAGGCAGAAAACTGTCTGCAAGGACAGAGTGGTTGGTGTTTTAGTTATGTTCAAACTTCTCTTGAGTTTTTTTTCTCCAAGCCTTTTAGTCATCTGTAGCTAGTACTGTCTAGAAGACCCTGGGTGGTTTCACCTCAGTGCTGTGATTTGTAGTCGTGTTGCAAGTAGGGGAACAGGACAGCAAGAGGTAGCAGTAGCTTTCCCATTTAATACCACAGATGGGACTACTATCTGCTGCTGTTCTGGGGGTCATAGAAAATGCCTGCCTGTCGTAGCTTAAGGCTGTCTCTCTCATCTTTGGTCTACGTGCAGTGTTTGTAAAAGATAGGTTGAGCCTCCCAGAAGCAGAAGATGGTGGTGCTCCTGGTTCAGTCTAACTCTTGCCCTTTCTGAGCAGAGATTCTGTTCACCCCCATGTGCCAATCAACAATCTGTTCTTTGCCAACTATAGTTTTATACTTTTCTACGTTTTTTTTTTTTTTCTTTTTCTTTTCTTCACTGCATGGAACAAGTGAATAGTCTGTTCTTCCCTGAAACTTTCTTGGAATTTATTCGTGCTGCAGTAGTGGTGAAGTGTTAGATGGGAGGCAGAAGACAGATCTCCCAGCTTCCACGCCTCCCAGCTGCTTCTTACTTTCTCACTGTAGATACAAGTGGAGGATGATTCCCATATCAAAAAAGACAACAGGAGAGACTCGGGTTTGTTCCTCCTAAGTGGGGAGAAAGGGGGCTGTAGATGCAAAGAGGCTTCTCCTGCCTTCCCATCACCGGCTTTCAGTCTTTTTAACTATGGTTTTGTTGCCTGTTTTTCTTTTTTCCACTGACCTGAATTTATCCCCCTTTTCTGCTCTAATCTTCTCTGCCATCCTAATCCTTCTAGTACACAATCACATGGGTAACTAAGTTTTAAGGATAGTAGAATTATGGTGCTCTGACTACCATCCACCCACCTGTGGTGGGAAATACCGTTGGTGACAAGCTCATCCCTCTTTCTTTCCTCCTCCCCTAAACTTTGGCCAAAGGAAGGTTTTGAACTGGTTTCTGCTAGCGCGGGGTCAGATTCAAGGAACATCCCCCTGCCCCCATACCTCCCCAAATACAGACATGATGTAACCTCTTTAGTGTGCAAGGTATTATACTTGTGGTGGCAGTGAGAAACTTGTCTTCAACATTGGTAGTAAATGCTGTACAGCAGTGAATATTCTCACCGCAGATGGTTAGAACTGTAGTCCGAGCCACCACTGTGGGGAATGTTGCTACGTCTCTTCATACTGTTGGATCATTGGTTTTATTGTCATTCCTACCAGAACGTTTCCTTCAAAATTACGTGTTGCACTTAAATAAGACTGTTCAACCTTGCCGCAGCAAGAGATCTTTACTTTTTTTTTCTTTGAATCCGACATATAGCTAAATACAAATTTGCTTACTTTGAAGCATGAATTGGGGAAGGCATTTTGTTGCATTATCTTTTGGAAATGATCAAATTGTGCCTTCTGTGTTGTACTTAGGCAATATTGTAGTTCCAGCAGTTTTACTAGTCACAGACCATGTAAGTAGTGTATCTGCTTCTCTTAGGGTCACAGGGGCTTTCTTGTATGGTGTGTACAGGAGTTCTCAAGGCGTACATGCTGTATGTGATAGTTTAATGCATCCATCAGCAGGATGCTTTTTTTTTTACTTCTTACACAGTTTGTGACTGCCTATAGAAAACAAGGTTTTGTTTGGGAAGAGTTAATTTTGTTAGGAATCTGTAGACATGGAAATCGCTTACAAGATAGTTTTTTCTGTCTTCAGAAGGAGACTTTTTTTTTTTTTCACTGGGGGGGGACAGGGAGAAGCAGGTCACGGGTTGCCTCAAGATGGCCTTAAATGCAAAAGACAGCAACAGTCTAGTTCATCTATACAGCCACATTTCCTTCTCTTTGCCTTCAGTGGTTCACTTGCTGATCCCCTTGTTTCCCTCTCCAGGCAGTTCTTGAACGTGTACATAAAGGTACTGTTACACTTTCTACATTGAAAAAAGCACAGAAAGTGATTGCCGTTTTTTAATGTATTTGTTTAATCTGCAGTAAAAAAAAAAGGAAAACTGACTTTTCTAAGCATATGAATGACGTACTTCTAAAACAACATAATGATCGTTTTAATTTTAAAAAGCAGAAACTCAAATTTAACAGGCCTTGAAATCCCACGTTAAGTTTTTAATTTAAATATTTCAAAGCAAGTCTGTTTTTCAGATTAAGGGAAGGTGAAGCTTACATTAAAAAAGCTACAATAGAACAAAATACTGAATTCTATTCTCATCTTATTTTTATGTAATGCTTTGCTTTTTAGATATGCAGTTTAGCATTCCACATGAGGTTGTCTTTATTTTCTTTAAGCCACGATTATGTCAAATTAATTCCTTTTTTCTGTGTGTCACACAGTGTTAATAACGTTACTAGGCTTGCAACATCTCAAGAGCTGTTCAGTCACAAAAATGAATGCTCCAGAAAGTGAACTTTAAGAAAAACTGGACCATTCTGTTTATAAAGCCCATGTAGATGGCTCCATAAACTCAACGGTAGGGTTCAAGATGTATAGTACGGATGAAGGCAGTGTAATACCTCTTTGTTTTTCAGGGCTGGAAATCCTAAGTCATTCCATCTTTGAGTGTTTCAGCTTAGTACCTTCCTTAAAGATTTAATATGTAATAGGATCAATCCCAATAATTGCAGAGTTTGCTTAAGCAAAAAGGGTGAGGTTAGAACCCCACTTTTTTTTTTCCCCACTTAATTTTTTTTCTCTCTCCTTACTGGTAAGCAGTTTCTCTTTCAGGGAGCGGAGGTTAGCTGCAGCAAAGCTGAAGGAGCTAGCATGAATGGCTGCTGTCCATGTGGAATAAAGAGGGGTTGTAATCTTATGTCAAAAGTGTCTAGTTCAAGGATTTATAAATACAGTGGCTGGGGGGGGGAGATTCTGAAGGGTCTTGAGACTCTTTGGTCTGCAACTGCATGTAAGTACTTTTGCCGTAGTAGCTGGATAGCAGATACTTGTTAGACACTACAGCGGTATCATGGATACAAGATTCTTGATGCTGGGGCTTCTTTGAAGTTGGGATGTGCGAAGGGTTTTGATTCTGCGGCCACGCACATTCCCTTCCGCAGCCCCTTTTCCTGCCGTTTGTTTCCGATTCAGCACAATGTGTGCTTTCCCGTGTCCCCTGGAGCAGCCTTGTGGGAAAGGTATGCTGTAATTGGTTTATAACCATTCATAATGACCTGGCAACTTGGTGTGAATAGCAACGGGGAGCAACTTAACTTGTGATTTATTTAAGTAAGCTACATGGATGAAAGGTACTCCCAAGTGTACAACTTGAGCTAGTTGCCTAATTGGATGTAAATTTTCACATGTAGCTTGGAAAGAGAGGGTTTTGTTATGAAAGGCTGAATTTGGATTTACAAGCAAGCTTCTGGACTGCTAAACCAGTTTGTGAGCAAAGTTTAATATTGTCTTTTTGGGGGATGTCTTAGTTTTTTTTAATTCAGTAAGTGCCAGTATACCCTTGTCAATTTGGAAGGCTAATGGAATATTAACTTAAGATTTCTATTTACAGTTGGATTATCTGACCTTGCTTTGGATGCAGTAACACACGTGCTTTGATTTTAAAAGCCAGGATTAGTACTGCTGCTTTGGTTGTAGTCTTTTACCAGTTTGTCGTCATTGCATTTCTGCTTATTTTGTCAAGGCTCTGATACTGCTTTTTTTCACACAACACCCATGATACGAGCAACCCACCAGCTGCAGGGCATGATGATTCGGCAGGCAGTACGACAGCCTTGGTAGTTGTAAGGCCATGGGTAGTAGCCCAAGAGAGGCTCGCAGATTCTCTGGCACTGCGTGTAACTTCGTCTGCATTCAATGCAGCACACACCTAGGTGATCCAGCATGGGGTCGAAAGCCATCCCTTCACCTTCCAGTTGCTGAAATGTAAAATATTAAATGTCATCTTGGTGATCTCATTCTCAGAAAATGTGGAATATACCAATGCTCATGTTAACCCTACAAAGGGGAAAACTGAAATCTTGGTCCTGTGGAAGTTAACAGAACTCCCAGTAACTGACCCGTGCATCTTGCCTTATTTTCTTTTTCTTTTGTCTTGCTCTATTTGGTAGAAGTATAGAATTGGTGCAATCATCTGTGTAAAATGGAAAGAACAACAGGGAGCTCTAACTTAATTTTTTTTTTTTCTACAGTCCTTGCAAAAGATCCAGCAGCAGTAAACTCCCAAGTTTTAAACACTAGCGATGGAAAAGATTTCAAGACAGTTATCCGAGTCTTTTATGTAGATGACAATGTCTGAAGTGTATGCTGTGTTTTTTATGTTTTGTTTTAATTTTTGTATTTTAATGCTTTTTACAGCATTCACAAGAAACTATTCAGTAAGCTATTGCCCTGCAGTTTTCTGAATATTTCTCCCTTGTCTTTCAGTCTGCTTTTTTCCGCCCCTCTCTGCCACACTTAGGTGCATTGTGGACAGTGAGAGTTCTGCCTGATCTGTATCTGACAGTAAGGAGTTACACGGAGCAAGGCATGCATAAAATATGTAAAAGCAGGTTCTTGCCACTGGTTTCGCCCTTCATTCCTTTCTTTCTTTCTGGGGAAAAAAGTAACCTGGATAATCTGCTTTTTGAAACTCGTTTGTTCTTTCCTCATTGGTGTTATTTCAAGAAAAGCAGCAGCAAAAAGCAAATGCTGAGTAACACTTAGCTTTTTACCTGAGCATTTTCATTCACAAAACTAGCAGCACACCAAAAAGGTGAGACACAGAAAGGTGCATCTCTTGTCTGCACTTGTAGGGGACACTAGTGACAGCTCGGTGTCGTTTGGGCCCCCAGCGACCCATTCCCAGCCCTGAGAGCAGGGAGGGTGTCATCTCCTTGGGCAGGATTCATCATCCTTGAATTCAGATACCTGCCGTGTGAATTTCTACACCTGAGCTCATCGTCCAGGCTCCACTTGCAGTGGGTGAAGAGAAGTAGCTCTGGGGAGGATTCATTTCACCCTACAGGAAAGGCCTGCAGTGTAATTAACGGTCTTTTCGAATTGAATGAATGGGTCTCTAAGAAAGCGTGGGTATCAGCATCTATGCAGTAACTGTGAGTGCAGGTGGACCCGGTGCTGGAGGCTGAGGGAAGTCTGGTGGCCGTATCCGACTGAACGTTCTCCGTTTGGGCCCGGGGCCCTCTGGCCAGAAGAACGGACCCATGGCAGTCGTTATGCCGCTGCCCTCCAGAGACAGGGCAGCTCAGACCCCATGGACGTGGTCACGTTAGCAGCTGTGAGGAGAAGTTACATTCCGGTGCCGCTGCTGTTTTACTGACCTCATGAGAGAGTCGATTTAGATCCACTTTATTTGGAGTGATTAATTTAAGTGTAATTAGGGGATGTCAGCTCGGCAGAATGCTGTCACAGTATAATGATCTCCTGCTGTTGCATAAATGTCAAGTCAAATCTGGGACTTATTTCCAAAGTAGGAGGCATTTATCTTGTGACAGTGTTGTATTAAAATGACTTACTCCTGCTGCACCAAATGGTGGGTGTAAATTGTCTGGCGCTGGTGCAGTAGACTGGAAGGTGCCTGCGGTACAGTCAGTTTTCCCGCAGCGCGGCAAAGGTGTCGGGAGGCAGCGGGGCAGCCCCTCTGCTCTTTGTGGGCTGCTTCGTCTCGAAGAGCGAGAACAAGTTTTGCGGTAGTCATCCTCTACCCATTGTTGCTGTCTCTAAACAGGTTCTCCTCTGTCACTTGCTTGTTAGACTAGGGCCATTTACCCTGACAGAGAAGAGGCTGAGAAAAGGGATTTATTTGACCTAACCCTAATCTCTTTGCAACCAGACACTACTACTGCTTTCCTCTGTAGCAGTCACTTCTGATGCTAATTTCTATTTGAGGGCAAAGTGTGTTTCTAGCTACTGGACTCTCTTTCCATTGTCAGTAAATGATGGGGTTCAGCTGTCTGATCAAGACCAGATTTCGGTCTTTGGTTTGTTTTCAGAGGGTGCTGTCGTTGTCAGATCTCTTTAGTGCTGCTTCCGTATGGACCTGGAAACCCTGAAGAGCAACTTGGCATCAACTTGCCTTAATTTGCCACCTGAAGCACTCGTGCTTGTTTCAGACTGAAGTCTAATGAAAACTGGGATGAGGGAGGGAGGGAAGACTTTTTTGAGCTTCTTACGTGTTTTACAATTCTGTAATTTCAGAGAAAAACTAGGCAGGCAAAGGCTGTGCAGATTTTAAAAAAAAAAAAAGACAAACAAACCCCACATCACCAGCATTATTGTCTACAACAGTCTCAGGCTCTGAAAGAAGATACAGGGCAAATACTTACATTATATGGGTTGTCTGGATTAAGTGTTTGATCGGTTTCTTGACCCATTGGCCTGGTTTCATTAGACTGGTGACCAAGCTCTTCAGTCAGCTGCGTGGTGGGTGACCTGGTGTTCACTTCTTCAGTAGCAGCTTCCAAGTCTTCTGTATCAAAGTTTGATTGGCGTTTGTTTCTCTTCATTTCTCTCCTTTGGTTATCTGAAGAAATAATCATGAGAGGATAATCTTACCTTCAGCGTGTCCTTGTATTTATCCACACATTATCTAAGGTTTAAGTGACTTCTTTAAATATTAAAAAAGAGGGGGAGGGTGGGGGAGGGCAGAGGGAAAGATGAAACTGCGTGGTGGCAAACTTGATGAGCATCCCCATGGGAGCAGGTTGCCTCCCTGTGTTCTGTCTGCAGCCAATATCAGTCCAAAGCGGTGTGAGGTTGCTTTTTTTTTTTCTTTTTCTTCCCCTTAAGGCAAAACAGGTGAGAGGAGATTTGTTGGGCTTTTTTGACCCACCGTGTGGTCACCGATGTTAGCTCAGCAGCAGTTGCCAGCACTAGCAAGACCAGTCATACGCATCTTATATTTTTTTTAAGTGCTTTTGTCACAGACTGGTGCCTCGCTCCCAAGGGCAGCTAGTGAACGTGGTGGAAACAGCTTTTGGACAGCTTTGATACTGTTTTTTTGTTGCCCAGTAGGATATACAAGGGCATGAGAAAAGTGGAAAATGATGGCAGTTTGGATCCACAGGTGGTCTAAAATGTGGTGGATTTTTTCCTTTTTTTTTTTTTTTTCTCCTTCTCCCCCAATCTTTAAGTGTTCTTATATTAACTGGAACAAGGAGGAGTACATCTTTGCAAGCCTTCTCCTCTCCTCCCACGCCTGGGAGTCACCTGGAGATGTTGCCGTCTGCCTGGTGACTCCTGAATACCTTTGCTAAGCTTGGCTCTGGGTGATGGGACTACTTTAGTCCTGGGACTGCCCCCAGGACCTCATAAACTTCATCCACCAGTTGCCCAGCTAAAGCATCTCGTCCTTCCACTCCACTAAATCCTCTGGAGAAGCAGGGTAGGAAACAGGACCAGCTACGATCCCAGATCAGGAGTTTGATATTACCCAGCTCTTGGCCAGGTATAGTGTTCCTGCTACCTGGTGTCAGCTAAATGCCTAAACATTTCGGAGGGGCTAGTTTAAGCTGTTGTCCTTCTGTGGAAGGAAGCTGACCTCTCTGGGAATGTTTCCTCTCATAGTAAGTCACCTACGTGGGCTATGTAAATTGTCTGAGGAAATACAAGTGTAGAAAATGTCTAGTAAGTGTGGATAAACTCCAAACCTGCAATCTCAGCACCAGCACATGAGAGCTTGGGAAGACAGGCTGGGCAAGGAAGGAAAAGATCCTGGTTTCCCAGATGTGCAAGTTTCTGTGGCAAACCTGATCTGGGAAAGGCATTTAGATGGAGGGAGGGATAACAGACTTTTCAAATAAAAGAAGTGTTACCTTTGGGATATGTTGGTCGCAGCCAGAAAATTGGAAGATCCCCGCAAAGCTCTAGAATTTTGGGGCTTAGGAAACTGTTATGCTTGATAGGCTCGTCTGCAGCCACCCAGATAAGGGAGTTTTCGTCAAATCTCACAGGCATGATTTCATCTTCCTGCAGATAGAAGAGCATAAATCCTTTGCTGTTGAGCAAACAGGCACATGCCTCCTTGCGGTTAATTCTTGAGCATCAAACTGTATCATCACCCGCTGCAGCTAATACCGAGCATCCTTGTATTTCATGAATGTGCACTGATTGTACCGAGCCAAACCCTGAGTAACGGTTGCCACCGCTGAAATGAATGGCAAAACTACTGTCAGCTTTGCTGGGGCTAAGATTTCACCAGTCTCTGTCTTGGAAGGCTTCTGCCCCATGTACAAGGACTAGGTGTCAGAGATCTTTCAGCCCAAAGTGCCAGATTTTCAGGTGCTAGAAATCGTGAAGATTTACCTTCTTCAGCAAAGCAGTAATGAAATATGCCAGCTAAAAACAAGACCCTGATCTTTTATCATGCCCCGTTCTCATTTGATGTACTCCTAAGATAACTATATTTACAATGGGGAGGGGCCGGGGGGGGGAATCTTGTTCAAAAGTTTTACAGAGGATTATAGCTTGAGAACTGCTCCAGCTTCCAATTTTAAGTCAATGTGATGGGTCTGATTAAAGGTCTCGTTTGGTAAAAGCAATTCAATTGACCAAAAGCTTGAAGTGTGAGTTAAAGGAGCCTGTCTTTTTGAAGTGTACCCTGCAGGTTTTTGGTTCATATCTTCAAAGTAATGTAGGAAAATGCCAGTGATTGATTCTTTAAAGTTGTTAGTTCAAAGTATTATTTTACATAAAATGTGTAAGTATTTTATAGCAACAGTGAAATATTAAAAGAAAACTTAACTTCTGAATCATGAGAACCAGAATGATTTCAAAGTTAAAATTCTAAATTGCTTCCATAAAAGTCATCAAAACTTGTTATATAACTGACTAGATCAATTTATTCCGTCGAGTTGTTGTTCCTTTAGTGTGCTTATTGATTTCTTTTGTAGGTCTCCAGTCATTTAAGTTTGCTATCCAATCTGTCTAGTGAGAAGTGCTCTTTATTTATATTCTCCCGTTTAAACTTTTATCAGCATCAGAAATATCAGAATCTAGTTTTCAGAAATAAAAATATCCTTTGTTTCTGTTTGAGATGATCCTGACTTGTGAGCAGGCAGAGTCTGGGTATCTATAAAAGCTTATTTTAATCAACCGTTTTTATAGGCAGTGTTGGTTATGATATGTGTTGTAAGAAAGTGGCATATGCATACTTCCTCCTAAGTAAGTGCATATCAGAGAGAGGACATGCTCTAGAAAAATAAGTACTACTTTGCCATTCCTGTCATACATCTAACCTGGAAAGTTGAGCAACAGGGAAAGGTTAACATCCCAACGGTAGCACTAAGCCGGCTGCTTGTTTTGGCCTCAGTGCCTACAATTTATTGCAGTGCTTGTGTGGGTGATGCATCTTTGGAGAAGGTGCACAGAAAACAGGACAAGGAAATACATTTACTGTAGCCAGGTAGAAGATTAGAAATAACCTTCTGACTATTCTAGGATAATGTCTTCAGGACCATGACTTCATTCTTACAAAAAGATGAAAAAATTGAAACCTTGACTTTAGGCAATAGTGCTAACGAAATCGAGAAGTCCAGCCTGCCTTTAAAACAAGGCAAAGTGGGAAAGTTGTAGCGCTCTGACTGGAATTTGGGCAAGCTCTCTTCCCCGTCGTGGGGAAAACCCCACCAACTTCAGGGGGCTTTGTAGCATTGCTGGTGCCTTGCTGATTGGATTTAGAGAGACCTTTCCCCCCTTCATTTTAAAGTAGATGTTCAGTAATCTCAGCGTCATTGCAGGTAGGTGCAGCCTTAACGATGCTTCTCTCCCAGCTAGTTGTATCTGCTTTTATTTTCTCGGGAGCGGAGCAAACCCAGGGAAAGGGGTTGTGGATCTTCAGTGCTCTCCTGCCGGTGGCTGAGCCCCCGCCAGCGTCCAGGCTCAGCTGTACTCGAGTCACCGGAGCCACTCTTGTGTCAGTGATGGGTTTGGGGCTCTGAGCTCTGGGAAACTCGGGCTCTGCGCACCTAAAGCCATAGGCATTTTTACACATGTGAGGTAAGGAGAGGTTTTGGTGGTATCTGGGTGAGAACTGCAGCTTTTGTGGTGGTTGCGATGCAGATTCCATGAAATATAGTTAACACAGTGCCCTAAAATGAAGTCTGATGCTAAGGAGGCAAATTCTTAATTTTTTTAAAACTATTCTTTTTTCTGAGTTAGCGGTATTCTTGCAATAATGTTTTCCACGATTCCCCTTTATTGACTGTTTCAGAGGACTTGAGTGGAGTCCCCCGCTTCTGCTCAAGACTTGATAGAAATCTCCTGGGATCTACCACGATCTTTCTTTGCATTGACTACAGCAGCTGCTTCTTCCACGTTCTCCCTTCCCTCCTTGTGCACAGCCTGATCTCAGGCAGATGCTCTTGCCTCTGAGGTCTCCTATGGAACTGGTAGAAATCGGTCTATGGCTTCCCCCACTCGCTAATCTGCAGCCTCTCACGATGCCCCAGGACACAGTGACACATCTGACACCAATCTTGCTTTTCTTACCCTTCAGGGACCCCTTGCAATCAGGCGAAGAACCCTCAACTATCCTACCCTACCCTCAGCAACCCTACCGCTATCCACAGTGGCTTTCAAATGTCATTTGTATTTCTATTTAAATACCACTTTAAGATCATCTCTATACAAAGATTTTGTGGTTTGTTTTTTGTTGTTGTTGTTGTTTGTTTTTTTTTTTTTTAATTTTTTATATTTAAAAAAATAAAACATAAATTACCCCTTACCAGCTCAGATGAGAGGCTCGCTTTAGTCATAGCATCAACTTCGGGGACGTGAGCTTTTGGCTGAGCTTTGATGTAACACTTTTCTCCTTCAGCAAAACGGATTCCAGTTATGCCCTGCAAAAGCAGAAGGCAGGGGATTGCGTGCAGCCCTCCAGCTCCCCACCGCCCCCAAGAAAGCACTCGAGCTCTGCTAAAATTGCCACTGAATTTTTAGTGTGAAGGTTAAATCTTCCTTAAAACCAGATGCAATAAAATGCTCTTCCCTCATCATTTTAGCTTTACAATTTTGGTCAAATGGGTCTAGAAGTTTTCACTCCATTTCTGAAAGATGGGGGTGTTTTATGTAAGTGCTTCCATGCCTGCTGTAGGCTACTTGGAGTAGCTCTGTTAAGGAATTAGTCGACACGATTTGAACTGTAACTTAGCACCTAACGTAGGCAGCCTCCAAATTGTGTTAGCTGGTGGTGCGGTACCCTTGTGACACAGATATACAAAAATATGGGGGCAGCTTGGTCCAATTTATACACGTAAGTGGCTGTGACAGCAAGGGGAAGCTTGTGATGAGGAATTTGGTGCAGAAATTTGTGTGTGGGACTTCCTTCATCTGGCCTAGGAGGGTGAAATTCAGTTGCCTAAACCATGGATGTCTAGTTTTAAGGAAGAGAAGGGTATCCCAGTAGCTCCAGAGAGCTGCAGGTCTCCTGCAAGTCCTGAGTCGTATCTGCCGGCCCTCTGCCAGCACCTTGGGCATCAACATTTTGGCAAGGGAGTGTTATCTGTAGTTTCTGCTGTACGTTTTAGCGTACCCAGAAGAGAGCTCTCTTTTACATTATGAATTTAGATACCTTGTTGTAGATGGCAAAACTTCTATGTTTTTCATAGGGTTGCACAAACTCCATTCAACCACCTAAATATAATTTAGTGCCCTTTGAGGTGTGCTGGTTTTCCGCCTAGCCTCTAGCTGCCAGGACAGGGGGGCATGAGTGTCATCATGACCCCTCTCACCTGCCTGATACAGGTATCGTGAATGTCTTAGGCACCTAGCGTGGCTTGAGATGGACGGTACTGAGGCACCTGAGTCTCATCCTGTGTGCCTGCGAGTCCTGTACACTTGGACAGACACCCACTGAAACAAAATGACTAATTCTAAAGCAGTGAGAGAGGGGATGGCTATGCAGGGATGGGTGCACAAGGAAATGAGACTCCGTAGTGCACCGAGCATGCTAGGAGTATCCTAATATTGCCAAATCCAAGTCTTCACCGACTTTGTGATCATTCGAGCGGTGCCAGTCAATCCGAAGCTGCTAATATAAATACTTGGCCATTGCAAATGCATCTCTTCGACTTTTTTCTCCTTCATGTGCATTTTTGGCTCAAAACCCAACTGGCAGCATCCCTTTGCTCTTGCTGAGCCTGGCCCTGGCCAGCTGTAATTACAAGCGGGCACTGTCCCTGGGAGGTGCCTTTAGCTGGTTGGGGTTGGGAGCTGATTTCTGACCTGGTTATGACAAGCGGTAGCTTAACAGGAGCACACATGGAGACAATATGAATTCAGCATATCTCCAGTGGGCTGGTGCTTTCATGCAGATGTGGAAAGGTGAAAGCAAGCAAGAAGAGCTCGTTGTGGGTGCTTTTATTCAGCTGCTAATAATGTTGCTATGGTGATGTTAACCAGAGTTTCATAAAGGCTGAACCGCAGCTCTTGGGGAAAGTCAGAGTACTGGGTCTCCTGATGTGGATTTGTTTGTACTTGCTGGGAAGCCAAGGAGCTGAATTTCCTTGCCTTTCTAGATTCAGCAAGGGGAAGGTGGCTGCTCCAGAAGCCCTGGGTAAGTCTTCGTAGCAGCATCATCTTTATTTTAGGTGCTGCAGAAGATTTAACTCTGAAGTTGAGTGTTTTGCAATTGAGAACATTAATTGCAGGATCTCAACCCTGTAAACAGGTTTCTGCAACATCACATAGATGTGCCTTTAGTAGCTTAGAGGTGGTACAGCTCAGTGAACCATTCTATCCGAGCTGTTTGGCTCTGCCGAGGTTCAGCATCTGTTAGTCCAGGCTCTGTGCTGAGCAGCCACAGCCAAGTTGCTGGGGTATCCAAATGTGTTTGCTCTCAGCCCAAGCGGCCCAGCGCCGTGTGTTTGGTGCATGAATGCACAAGCCATGCTAAATGCCTCCATCCTCTCCCCTGGGGATGAAGCAGACGAAGCCACGGAGAGCAGCTCCCATCCTTCATCTTGCGGCAGAGCAAGCTGCCCGGGTCCAGCGCTGTATAGTGTCTGCTTGGTGTCTACTTGGCTTACTGTTTTCATAGTATCATAGTGTCATTCGGGCTGGAAGGGACCTTTAGAGG